GTGGTGATCCAGTGTGGAAAGGCTGATGCTCACAGCTGAGTGGCTTCAGCCCATCACCCTGCACTTCCTCACCCACATCCTCCCTGCTTCCCTCACCAGCAGTTTAATCCAGGCCAAAGCCTCTCCATGTCTCTGACATGACTCCAACCTCCCCCACCCCTTCTGTATTCCATCAGTGCTTCCCCTGAGGAGCTCATCCCACCAATCAGGGGGCAAAGAGATGCTCTGATTTCCCATAAATAAATTACTGAGTGAGGAGCTCGAGTGCTGCTCAGTGTCACAGAGAGGCCAGGAAGCAGGTCCAGCCCTTGGGGACAGCGAGGGATGGGGGAGGAGGTGTGTGCACACCTGCACTGAGCTGTCCAGGTGACTCCATCCCACCTCTCCCAGCCTGAGGCAGGAGTTTCCCCATCAGACTGTCACCTGCAGCTGGGCCAGCAGGTTTTTGGGTGACATTTTTCTACGTGGTTGCTTTAAATAGACCTTCAAGCTTAGCTGCTGCCTCATTTTGAAAGGGAACTCTCACTTCCTCAGTGCTTCCCTCATTTGTTCCCTCCTGCAGCATGTCCTCCCCCCACACCTGTGTGCAGCACACAGAACATTGGTGTTTCTGCACACACACACACATTTCCATGCTGGAAAAAAAAAAAAAAAAGCTGCTCCAGAGATTGAAATCTGTTTAAGCACAAGACAAGCAGCAGGATCCCCCAGCCCTGGGCTGGAGAACCTCCTTCGTTAGGAGCTGGGACTGTATCCCTCGTGACTGGAATGAGTATTGGGGTTCTGGCAGCAGCTCCCTCCTCTCAGATCCAGGCTGTGTTGTGCTTGGCAGTCCATGTGTGTCTTCTGGAAGGTTCTGCTGCTGCACAGAGCTTGCAGGGACAGAAATCGAGGCACAGGGAGGGGAAGGATTTAGTGTGGTTTCAGTTTCTCTTGTTGCTCCTTGGCTGCAGTGCTTGGGCTCTTCCCCCAAAGGCCTTTTGTGGGGAGGAGGGTTTGTGGTAGGACACTATGGATCCATCTGCCATGACCTGCTTGGCAAACAATATCTAGGCTAAAATTTGGCCTGAGGTGGGAAAATCCTGCCCTGGAATCTCTGGAGGTGTCTCAGGGAGGTCTGTGAGGTCAGGTCAGCCCTACAAGTGAGTGTGTCTATCCTCCACCTTCAGCTCAGCCTCTCTCATCCTCTGCCTTTTGCCTTAATTTTGCAATTCAGATTCATTTCCCAGCTCAGCTTTCCCCTTCCCCCCTGCACTCATCCATCCCCTGCCCTTCCTGACACTGCATTTAGAACATATCTTCTCAGGTGGTTCCCCCCTGCCCTTCCCTGGCCTCGTGCACCTTGTGCTGAGCTCCAAACCAGTGAATTTAGGGGAGGAAAATCGAGGGCTCTGTGATCCACCTCATCCCTGTGACTCCATGAGCAGCCTCAGGCCTTCCCACAGCCCCCAGACTCTGCTCCCCTTTCCCTCCCCAGGCACATGTGGCAAGTCAGAAAGATTTTCATGCTCCCTCTGAGCTCATAAATCAGGAAGGTTTAATCTCCTGCATCCAGGAGTCTGTGATGAGAAAATACAGATTCCCCCTGCTCTCCCCCCTAATTTCCACCACTCCCTTCCTCCTGTCTTTCATATTCCCGGCACATCTGGTGTGTGTTAGGCTGCCAGCTGTTGCATTGTGCAGAGTGATTAAACCATGTGGGAGGAATGGGGAGAGATTTTTATCTGGGCATTCATGAGTCTGCATTACAAGCCCTTTTTCCTCCAGCTCTTCCCCCAGATCAGAGGTCAGCTGGAGTCAGGGCTGGAAGGAAGGGATTGTGCTTCTCCGTGGCTTCCCTGTAGGAAATCAAAAGGTGTTTTCACTAATGTACAGGTGTTACATTTTGGGCTGTAGCCATCACATTAGAGCTATATTTATACCATTGATTGGTTGCAGTGATGCTTAAAAGAAGAGATCTTTGAACACTCAGTTTTGGCTTTGAAGTGATTGGAAGGTGAAGGTTTCACATCCCAGTCCGAGCCCCCAGGGGATCTGGTTTTCAGTTCGTTCCCCTCTCCCCCTGCTCAACTCCCACACTTCTCTCTCTCATCCCAAGCTCCTGGATTTCCTAGCATCTGGCCAGCCTCTTCATCTCCCTTGCTTCCCTGTCTCCTGCAGGCTTAGCTGGGGTTTGGAGAGCATCTGTTGCTGCGTGGTCAGATGCTCCTCTGACAGTGTCACTGGGAAATATTTACTGCTGGAGATTTGGGAAGCTCTGAGCTGATCCCAGGGAAACTCCTGTCACGGCACAAGGATGAGCAAGTTCCCCCAGGTGGAATGACAGGGCTGAGAACTGCACACCTGAGAGAGGAAGCTGAAAGAGATGTTTGAATCTCAGCCAAATCCAGAGTTGATTTGAGCTGAACAGTGCAAGGAGTCTCTGCTCTCTGACTGCCAGTGCCCTCTTTAATTTCCTGCACTTCCCTGGGATGAGTGTAATCCCTAGGAGTATAAAGCCTATTGCCACCAAGCAGCAAGAGAGGGAAATGTTGCTTTTCCCTCCTGAGTAACCTGACCTGACCATCCCTGTGTGGGCAGAGGGGCAAGCACTCCTCCAAAGGGGAAATTGGGAAGAGGAGCCCCTGCCGTGGCCACATCTGGCTCCAGAGAGTCACCTCTGTGTTTGCTCCTGCCCAGGGCTCCACCAGCCACCATGAGGGGAGCAAAGAGACCTCGGAGGTCAGCAGGTCGGAGGTGAAAGGCAGGAAATCCTCAAGCCATGGCAGCAGCCACAAGGGGAAAAAGACAGGGAGTGGGAAAAGCTCCGTTGGCTTCAGCTCAGCCTCGTCCAGTGGGACCTTCCAGCCTGCAGGTAAGGGGTGAAGGGGAGGGAAGGGAGGAGGGGTGAAGGAGAAGGAGGAGGGGAGGGATGAAGGAGAAGGAAGAGGGGAGGGATGAAGAAGGAAGAAGAGAGATTGAGGTTGATGTTTTGCCTTGCTCCTCTCTGACACCTCTACAAAGGTGTCTACACCTGCTGCGAACCTTTGCTGATGGTGATTTTGAAGAGATGGTTGCTCCTAACTCCATGCACAGAGGGAAGAACAGAGTCAGAGCAGTGTTCCAGGCCTGCTGCACTGCAAGGCAAACCAGATCCAGATGTGTGCATGGAGGGAGGAGGGAAGGGATTCTGTGCACAGGCAATCTGGGCAGCACCTGTCCTCTCCTCCCTAGGTGGTTCTGGCTGCAGCAGTGCTTAAGGAGTTTGAGTGGAAAGACCTGAGCCCAAACCTGATATCAGGCTCCTCTGAGCTTTGAGGCAAAGTCTTGCAGAGCCCCAGTCTGCTCTGACCTTGCTTAGTATTTGAGCTGTTGGCATTTTCCATCCCCTGGGATGTTCCTGGTGGGACAGGGGGGTGCAGGGCTGTGGGGAGCAAACACCTCCACAGGTGAGGTGAACCTGCTGCTGTGCCCCTCTGGTGCTTGCCAGAGAGCATCCCAGAGCTGGGAGGGGACAGGGATGACTTCAGCTGGGTCACTAACCTGTGACAAAGCACCTGTGCTGTGCCCGTGCTCCTCTTATCTCATGGCTTGAGTTGTGCCACCACCAACCTCCCTCCACCTGCCTCCCCTCTGCTCCCACAGGTACCTCCTGCAGCAGCTTGCAGTGCTCCCAGGACTTTGTGACATTCCCCAAACTCGAGCAGGACGAGGAGAAGTACCGGAAACCTGTCTCTTCCTCCTCCTCCTCCCACTGCTCCCCCCTGTACGAGGGGCAGAAGGGAGACGTCTTCGAGCAGAAGGTGATCTTCTCGGGCTTTGGCTCCATCATGCGCTTCTCCACCTCGGCTGTGAGCCAGCAGAGAGGTCGAGATGCCTCCCCCGTGGACTACAAAGCCTCCAACCCTGTCAGTGGCCCCTCGGTGGGCACCAGTGGCACCAGTGGGAGCAGCAGGAGCAGCCACAAGCGGATGCCTTCGCTCAGCATGGAGGAGGGAGAGGTGCTGAAGGAAAAGAAGCACAAGGGTAGCAAGAAGAACAAGCATGGGCCTGGCAGGCCAAAGGGGGGGAAAAGCAAAGAGATTTTGGGTGCCCAGCTGGCTGGGTCTACATCTACTTCCTCATCACCCTTCTCTGGGGGCTCTCTGGTGAGCTCCAGCATCGGCAACTCTTCCCGGTCCTTCAGCCACACAGGGACTCTGCCCAGTCTCAGCATGGAGTCCCCACTGCTGGGCTCAGGTATGTGCCCCTGAGGGCTCCAGGTGTGCTCAGTTCCTTTTTCCAGCCTTTTGCAGCACATTTAGCTTGTGTCTGGACCTGTCTGCACAGAGTCCAGTCCCATAAAAACTCACATCTGGATCTTCCCATTCCATCCTGGCCTTCGTCCTAGAATCTCCTCCACATCAGCTTCCCTATGGTTGGGGCTGAGGTGCAGGTCTGAGCTGGGAGGGGCATTCCAACCCCTTTCTGCTCAAGGGCTGGAAAACCTCAGCTGGCTAGAGCTGAATTTCCAGCTGGATAAAGAGGGATATTCACAGGCCAAACCGGAACAACCACAGTCTGACCCCAAATTAGGGACTCTCCTAAGTGGTTCAAGTTTAACCCTCTTTTAAAAGCAAAACCTCTCATCCTGGTCTTACCACAGCCACGTGCTCACAGCTGTCCCCAAGCCTGAGTCCCCTTCCCTGGATGAGGGCAGCCAGGAGCAGGGCAGGAAGGGGTTAAGAGGAGGCAGAGGAGGAGCTGCTGCTCAGAGCTGAGGTTTGACACTGTTCTGGCAGCAGAACTTGTCGTCGGTCTATTGTGGGTTGTTTGCAGATGCTCCAATTTAGGTCAGATTGCAAGGGGGAGGTATAATTTGGTTGTGCACCAGGAGCCCAGGCCTGTTTGCCTGGGGGAAAGGAGCTGCAAGAATTGGGGCAACTTCCAGAATCATAACCTTAGGCCAAGTTTTTTTTTTTTGCCTCTCCCTGGAACAACAAAAGGATGTTTTGGAGAGGAGGAGGCTGCCAGGCCTCTGTGTTCCTCTGTTCTGCTTGTTCTCTCATTCTTCCCTCATGGAGAGCTGCTGGCAGAGCTCTGAAGGACCTGGCTCTGGGCACTGCCTCTGCTGCATTCCTGGCTCAGATGAGTCTCCTCCTCCCTTAGCAGCAGCTCTGTGCTCACCCTTCATCCTCATTCTTGTCCCTGTGGTCCCTGGGCATCACAGGAGGGGACAAGTGTGTGAGCTCCTGGCTCACATGGGCAGTAGAGTGAGAATCTGAGTCCACTCCCCCTTCTGCCACTGATTTGTGCCTTGGGTGAGTCTCTTAGAGAATAGAATCACAGAAGCTTGGAGGAGATCTCTAAGATCATCAAGTCCAACTGTTAACCTGTCACTGCTGTAACCCCTACACCCTAATCTCCGTGATGAGAATTCCATGTTGGGCTGTAGCAGGGTGCAAGGGGAGCAGGGGCAAGGCTGGAGAAGCCTGTGATCCCTTTGGATAGAGGGATGGTGAGCTGGGACCACCCTCACTGCATGCCAGGCTGAGTGCCCTGGTGCCACCCTCCCTCCCTTCCTGAGCTGAAGCCCTGCAGAAAACCAGCTGCTTCCAGGCCGTGGAGAGGAGAGAAGGGAATTGTGGCTCTCTAACCCATCTCCTCCCCTCGCAGGGATCTACACCAGTAACAAGGACCCCATTTCCCACGGGGGTGGAGTGCTCCGGGCTGTGTGCAGCACTCCCCTCTCCTCCAGCCTTCTGGCACACCAGGGCACCTCGTCCCTGCCACAGCTCAACCGCTCTCCCTTCGCCAGCACCATCCCTGCCTCCTCCTCCTCCGTCTCCACCACGCAGGTAAGAACATCAGCACCTGCAGAAGGACTGTGGGGGGAGAGTGTTGGACAGAGCAGAGCCATTTGTGGGCACAGAGGAGCTGCTTTTCCACTTGGGAACAGTTTTTCTTTCAGTTTGGAGAAGAGCTGCCAAGTGCAGCTTCCCTTGGAGTTATTGGGAAGGTGTAGGGAGGGAGGAATTGGGGTCTGGAAGGACAGGTGACTCCTCACTGCCTGGGAGAGGAGACTGGTGGGAGAGTGTTGGACGGGGCAGAGCCAGTTGTGGGCACAGAGGAGCTGCTTTTCCACTTGGGAACAGCTTTTCTTTCAGTTTGGAGAGGAGCTGCCAAGTGTAGCTTCCCTTGGAGTCACTAGGAAGGTTTTGGGTGGGAAGAATTGGAATCTCCAAGGACAAGTGGCTCCTAATGGCCTGGGAGAGGAGACTGGTGGGAGAGTGTTGGACGGGGCAGAGCCAGTTGTGGGCACAGAGGAGCTGCTTTTCCACTTGGGAACAGCTTTTCTTCCAGTTTGGAGAGGAGTTGCCCACTGCAGCTTCCCTTGAGGTCACTAGGAAGGTGTAGGGGTTTGGGGAGGGAGGAATTGGAGCCTCCAAGGCCAGGTGACTCCTCACTGCCTGGGAGGGGAGTACAGGCAGTGCTCAGGTAAGCAGACACTTGGCTGTCAGCATGTGCTGGGTCCTGTGCTGCTCATCCCCTGCTGCTGGCTGGATCCTGCCACCAGTGCCAGCCCTGTCACCAGTGCCAACCTTGTCACCAGTGCCAGCCCTAGCTTGAGTGCAGCAGCTACCTGGTGGGAGGGCTGGCAGGGCCCAGCTGGGTGTGCTGTGTGTGTGTGCCAGGGCACAGAACCTTGTGCTTGCAGGAGCTCATTGAGAGGTGTTTTACAGCGAGGAGAGAGTTGGTTCTGCAGTGTTAACACAGCTCTTCCAGACTCTTGGCTCTGAGACAGGGCTGGGAAGATTTCAGCTGTCTAGCAAGACTTCCAAGGAGATATTTATAACACACTCTCAGGGTTCAGGAGTCAGGGAGAGATGGAATAACAAAGTTCTTTTCCTCCAGTGCTTTTAAAGAAGGCATTTCTCTAAACCATTTCTCTCCCTCCCTCCTTGTTTGGCTGTGTAGGTGTTCTCACTGGCAGGTTCAACCTTCAGCCTCCCTTCTTCCCACATCTTTGGAAGTCCCCTGACATCTGGGCTGGCAATCAACCCCCTCTTGAACCAGTCGGAAAGCAGCCGGGCAGGTACGTGAATCAGAAGGTATGTGAGTCTGCACTTCCCAAGGGTCTCCCTGGAAGAGTGGAGACAACTGCATCCCTAGTGCTCCAGCTGCCCTCCCTGCTTGCTCCCATCCTCTGTGTGTGAGAGCCAGGGGCTAGGAGAGGGGGACAGGGGGTGCTTGTGTTTGCCTAAATGATGGCCTGGCTTGCAGTGCTGTACAGCACATCTGGAGTGTCCCTGGATCATGTGTGTCCCTGGACACGTGCTGGAAAAGTGCAAGGATGTTAAG